AAATTTTTGTTTTAAAAAAAAAAAAAAAAAAAAAAAGAATTCCCTTGCTTAGACCCTATCCTGAAAGGTTCGACTTCATTGGGTCTGAGGTGGAAATTCTATGCAGTCTGGTGGTCAATGCCCTTTTAAGGCAAACGTAAAGAAAAGCAACCACTGTGGCCTGCTGGACAAGAGAAACGGATCTACATGGTTCATCTATGATTCGAATCCTGGCCCTGGTGGCTTGAAAAAGCCACTGGGTGCCTGTACACGCATGCCCCAAATCCCTACAGGATCTCTCCACAGCAGGAAGTGGAGAAGGGCCTCCGCAGGACTGTGCCCCGGGGCGGGGGGTGGGGGGAGTGGGTGTTGCTTCCTTTCCTCCCTTAGCTACTGCAGGCGCCCAGTGGCAATTTGCAAAGACAACACAATTAGCAGTACAGGTAGAACGTGGGCTTGGCTAATTTCCAGGTAAGGCGGCTCAGAAGAATTGGGCGTTCTTGGCACATGGAGCTCATCTACATCCTTTTCTTGATTGTGCTTTCAGTTGAGGCCACTCAGCATTTAAACCCCGAGGCTGACCCCATCCAGAGGCTACCGCTGCAGGAACTTCACTCGGTGGCAAAGGGCTGCTTACTAGCACGGGCAGAAACATGCCAACGTAGGAGGTGCTGTCTGAGGGGGCAGCGAGTGTGACAGGAGTGGCTCTGGCCCACGGCAGATTCTGTTTGAACCATCTGCCTAATAACCTTAAGGCCCAGTAGATTCTCACTAGAGGACCAGAGGCTTTTCTAGGATTACAGCCACAATCCGAGAAATAACCAGTGTAGACTACACTTTCTTCTTGTTTCCAGGCTCAGCTCCCTCACGTCAAAGTCCATGCCTACTTCGCTCCTGTCACCCCCCCAACAGCCGTGGCAGGAAGTGGACAGCGACTGTGCAGGTGCTGCGTCATCCTCTGACAGCAGCTGCCCGGCCCAGTGGTGATGAGGGGTCTCCAAAGACGACCCAATCTCCCTGACCTCCACTACCATCACCCAGATGTGTTGACTCTCCATTGGGAAAGGCATTTACAGGTAAAGACTTCTGCGTGGACTGCAGAAACTCTGGTGATCGCTCCACCTTTACTCCGCTGTGATGCAATCGAAGCAAGCCTTGTGTCAGTTTGGTAGCAAGAGTGGTTCTCAGTGCAGCCAAGACCACGCAAGAAGCCCGGATCTCTTACGAGGTGGGTGCCTACCTAGGTACAAAAGTCCTACCCTTGGCTCCGTCAGCACTCCTGACACACCATCAGTGTTAGCACAAATTAAGCAGGAAAAATAAGCTGTCGATTTTCTACCTGATACTTAAGCCAGTGGCCTACTTTAATTCACAATGATTCCATTTTGATTAGCAGGACTTTTCCACTTTGAGGATTAAACTTTGTCAGAGTGTGACTATACGGCATACTCATCGTGCCAGGTGGTTTTATACGTAGAGACTTCAGTGGAAGGCATGTTCTTAGGTTCCATGAGACACCAAAGAAATGACTCTAAGTCGGGTGGAGCAAGGTCTTCGCCTCTGTTTCTGTCAACGTGTCATATCCACTCCAGGGACCAAAACCTCAACAAAAGCCACTCAGAGTTGATTGGAACGATAAGCTCTGGTGTACGTAAGCTACAGCACACAATGCGTTTTTGTTAAAGGCGGCTAATTCTGTCCACATCTCTCTCAAAATCTGGAGGACTTGAAAGAAATAGAATTAAGGCTTAAGTTATCTATAGTATAATCAATTAAAAATAATGAATGGATGCACGTAGAATGAGTGTGTTTTTTTTTTCTTCCAAGTTTATTTTCAAATCTTAGAAATCAGGTTACACCAGGACTATTCAAAAATTTTACACACTTGAAACTCAGATCAGTGAAGTGTTGGCACCTTTTAGACTCATAAAAATTAATAAACCATTGCAATGCTTGAAGAAATTAAGTCAGAGGGTTTTATTGCTGTGATTTTTATGGCAAACTTGAACAAAAACCATTATCAAAATTCAGATCTTCCTAATGTTGCCTGAAATCTGGGAAGATGACCCGTTACTGCCGTGGCCGGTTGTGGCTGGTCGTGGCTCTGTGCTGTCCACAGTGACCTTTATTGCTGATTAGGAACCGTCACCACCTCCTTTGTGAGTTGGGGTGTTAATGGTAGCTAAACCCTTCCTGGTGGCCACGACCCTAACTGGAGGGCCAGAACCCCATGAGAAACCAAAATAATACAGCAAAAATGAGATGTTTTCTTCTGGTGACACCTCTTTTAGTTGAACCACTTCAGAAGCGTTTTCGAGGACACGGCCTCGGCCAGGTATCTATGCAGATACCAGTACCCTCCAGAAACTGACTTAGCAAGACGACCAGAGTAAGCATTCCAGTCCTGATTCGCTGCCTTCTGATACCCAGTATTCCTGGCCCCAGACGTGGTGCTACCACCCTCGAGAGAGGACGCTGATGCGGGAAGCCACTTGAACGAAACAGACGCACACACACAACTGCTTTGGCACTCGTGCATCATGGCTTCTATTAAAGACATTTCAAATGCCCAGAGCCTTCTACACATGGCCAGAACCTATCACAGCCATGACTTGCTGCTTAGTGACCCATGACCTTATTTACAAAACAACAGCCAGAACCTACCACAGCCATGGACTCGCTGCTTAGTGGCCCATGACCTTATTTACAAAACAGTCAGATTCGCAAGGTTTGCGTCCTCCACATGTGTGGAATAGCTAACGGCATAAGCTTCCTCTGTTGTATCAGTTTTGAGAAAATCAGCTGAAGGAAGTCAGATTCACAAGGTTTGCATCCTCCACACGTGTGGAATAGCTAATGGCATAAGCTTCCTCCGTTGTATCAGTTTTGAGAAAATCAACTGAAGGGCGGGGGCAACACATGGACTTAACTTTAGTATTGGGACTGGCTTGAGCTAAACACACAGGAAGCCTGGATTCTGTGACTTGAGGTGACTGACAGGAACTGGGATTTTAAATGAGACACACATTTGCAAAAACAGTCAGAAAATATTTATTAACCTGAAATGTGTACATCTTACTATTAAAAAAACAAAGTAGCAAATTTGCTGGTGCCATAATTTATTTAACCTGTTTCACTGGAACAAATTACTGTTCAGTGCCACTCAGTGTAATTCAAGTTTGATGAGCTTGTAAGTATTTTTATCCCACTTCTAAAACCTGATGAGGAATTCAAAATAGCACACAGCATTTAATGACATTTATTGTTCCATAAATCTTGAGACCCAAAAAGGAATGCTAAATAGACAAGCAAAACTCTAAAACAATTAAGGGGTTAGCCTGCTTCTTTTCCAGAAAACACATGGTTTTACAAACGCAAAGAGGACAGACAGAAAAGGAAAGCTCTCCACCTAGGGGCCCGTAGGAGTTACAGATATTTTCAAACCTTAGATGAAAATATTGAGACAGTGCTTCTTTATAGCAAATAATTCACCCCTTTTATGAATAAAACATGAATGTCAAAGCTTTTACCTATGGGAGTGGTTTGTCTGCTGGGAGAGATTTCAAACTCAAGATTACTCCTATCTCCACCCCAACAAAGATGAGGATCAAACATTAAAGTCAAAAATACCTGGGTATCTGGGACGGAAGTATGCTGTAACTAAAGTGAAATCGAAGCTTAAAAACAAATTCAGACTGCTACACCACAGGCCTCAAACGTGTATACTCATGAATTCTGGGAAGGCTGTGGGTGAGCAGAGGCTACAGGTAGGGAAAAAGATAAGGGAAAATAGAAGGAAACGGGGTTCCCTCTGAAAAGTATGCTAGCAGATAAGCCCCCCTAAATAACCACCGACAGACATCCACGACTGTGGGGGCTGAGTGAGGAGAGGCGGAGCGTTTATGCTACGCATTTAGTGTTTGCTGTGCATCCTCTAGTGTTCCCACGAGATGAATCAAGGATCCCGTAACACCCAGCCCGAAGCTTATCAACAATACTTTCTTCCTCCTCCAGTGGTCTCCTATTTCCAATGTTGGGGGTAGGGCTTTAAAAATGTCAAAGTACAGAATGTTGGTGGGGTGGGGATGGAGAGGAGGAGGAGGGAAATGAGAAAGAAAACCACGAGTTTAAAAGGCAAAGACTTCAAAAAATGAAAACCAGAAACTAAATGCTAAAAATGGAAGCAGAAGCAAAACACATCTTTCAATAAATCTGACAAAGCAACACACAAGCGTCTTGTACCTATTAGGATTTACACTGATCCTCTCATCAAGGTACTCCTGATAATGCAGTTTGCGCAAGCCCATCTTCCTGGCTGGGTCGTCCTCGATCCAGCGGCACGATCGAGTCCAAGGACCGCCCTTGACATGATTTCTCCGAGAAGGTGCCGTGCCGAGCCGCTTACCTGACCCCGGTCGCCACATCTGCACAGAGCGTGTCTCCGCAGACGGAGTCTGTGTGGCTCCACCACAGCACTGTCCCCGTCCCTCCCCAGGTCAGCATCAGGTTCAGGCGATAAAAGCCGAACTGGCACAGAAAGGTAAATGCCCACGGTAAGTTTTTACATTCATTTCCAAACCGCATACAGTGTAAAAAAGACAGCAAAGGCTGCTCCTAGAACTGTGTCTACTGGCCTGTGCCAGGCACGCAGGCGGCCGGGCCTGCGCGGGGGCCTCCCCTGCTGGACGCACGCAGGCCCCCCCTCGACGTGCTTGCTCACGAGGATGCTTGGCTATGGCAGTGACAGTGAGGAGATTCACCTCTCATCAGCTCATCAGAAAGGTCATCTTGTGTTTTCAATATGAAACATTTCATCGGGTAAAATCCAATCCCAAGACTTCTTGGATTCAGTCTTCACACACTTTTGAGCGTGACTTTATTTGGTACTGAGTATAGTTCAGTCTACGTAAGACGTCACTTCAGAATTATGTGGATACCATCACCATTCTCAGCTGCAGAAAAAAGAAAGACGTTACATCTTTTGAGCCAGGCTTAGGAAATGAAGACTATTAAACTGAAAACTCCTTGAAATCTACGACCCCTCAGCAGACCCAGAGGCTGCCCTTAACTAATTCTAGAGAAGAAAAGGCGGCGAACTTGCTCTAGCCTTCCTTCCCTACGACACCTGCACATGCACTGTCCTCTTCAGACACCCTGGCGCTAGCAGTGTGGCCAGTGCCCGCGCCCTGCCACCAGCGCTGGGTGTGCGTCTGTCCTGATGAGCAGCCCCAGCGCTGCAGGCAGGGGCACAGAGGCATCCCCGTCTGTCCAAAAGGCACAAGGAACCCAAGGTACACGGTCTCGGGCCACTCTTCTGGAAAGTCACTGCCAGGAGAGAGTGACGTGACATCTTCCTCCTCTGGGGGCAGCTTTGGTGCTAAGACTGGATTTGGATCTTAACACACCTTTTAAAGGTCAATGAATGTGTGATCTTAAATCACTTCCTATTTTAAAACCCATCCCTGTCTAACCTTTGAATGCTGGCACTCCGCTGAGCCTGCCAAGGGCCCTCTTTCTGTACTCTCTCCCTAAATGACCTCAACCACATCTATGGCTGAGTTGCTGCCGGTTTGCTGAAGGCGTCCAAATTTCCATGTCGAGCCCAGGCCTCTTCCTCTGAGCCCTGGGCTGTTATGTAATTTGCTGCCCACAGGCCATTCCTACACAGCCAAAAGGGAATCCACACTGCTTTACCCCGGCCTCGACTATCCTCAAGGAGACCACTGTCCACCCCGCTGCCCTGGATGGACAGTCAGGAGTCCCAACTTCTGCCTCGATGTGGAGCCCAGAGGGGCCCCAGCTATGAACTGTTCCACGCCATCACCTTTCACGTGGATGACGACTTCGCCAGCTTCCCAAGGCATCACAGATAAAACCTGACCAACCGCACAACAGGCCCTGCCTCCAGCTTCGGCCCCACACACGGCAAGGCCACTACCCAGCCCTCTTTGGGCCTCCAGCGAAGCCAAGTGCTGCCCTTCACACTGCTCCTACCACCAGCTGCTGCTCGCTCAAGTCTCAAGATTCACGACACTTCCTCGGAGAAGCCTTGCCTAGCAGGTTCCTGTCACCCCCGAACCAACCCCTTTTAGCCGTAAGCATCCACAGTTCCCTTTTCCTTTCAGAACACGAAGAACACAGATGCTCCCACGTAACACCGTGATGGTGTGAGAGGCAGAGGCGCTCAGTACAGAACCGGAACCCCACGTCCACCACAGGGCAGAGCGACCTGACAGTGCGTTTTCAACTCCAGGGATAAGTCAGGGAGCGCCCGTGTCGGCCAATGTTGGCTTCCTTCTCACTACAGTGGTTCACGGACTGTCCTGATTAATATTCAACAGGCACCCAACGCACGGAGTCGGACTCAAGTGCCCATTAAAACGCTGGCTGACTGAAATGAGATCTTTTTCCCTTCTGGTCACCCAGGACTGACTAGTCTTCCTTCCTATCAATAGTTAATTTCTATGATAACCACTAGGAATATCCTCTTGGTTAGTTTCTCAAAGTCACAATGTCAGCACAGTCAAGAATAAACACGGTGGAGGGGGGGCTGTTACTCAGAGGTACAGGCTGTCTTTTGTGATTCTAGCATTTCAAGACACACACACACATTCAAAAGTACCTTTTACTGTAGAGAATAAAAAACAACTCTCATCTTGAAAGTTCTGAACCATCTAGAAGGATAAAGCAGATGTGTTAAGTATATTTACAATCCTCTCTTAACTAGAAATTATTAAAAGATTTTTGTTTTAAGGTTTTTGTCATAGGGCCTGTGCACAGTGAGAGGGAAAGTGAAAAACAACCCCCAGAGGGGATGGCCACACTGCAATCCCTTATCCTCCATTCTCCTGGGGTTCTGGGTGTGCAAGTACCCGGACTGGGACCGTAGTCAGCCACGTGGGAATCCAGTGCCTTAACTATCACGCTACTTGCTAGCTCCTAAAAGCAGTATTTATTTAGAAAAAAATCTTAATCTACACATTCTTCTTGCACAACTCAGCACTCACCAGCCAAAATGCTCACTCGTGACCTCGGTGTGAGGTGGTAGAAATTCACACCTGATGCACGCGCAGGGCTGTGCTAACCCTGCCTGCCCTGAGCTGTCTGAGAGGGGTGACCCGCTGGGGAGCAATCCCTGCCAGGTCCTGTAAGGACAAGAGATGCATAAAGTGCTATCTGTCGTAACTCACTTAACATCGAACACTGGGGGTGGTGGGGGGGATGGGGTGCGGCAGGGAGAACCCACTTCTAACTTTTTGTGCTTTAAAAAAATTAGTCACCAAATAACGGATAAAAGGAGGACACATCTGCCTAACCTCATAAAAGGGCCAAGGCCTGCCACCAACCCTAGAGTCCTCCAATGGCTGTCAGCTGCTAAAGGGCAGGGCGAGGATGAGCCAGTTTATCTTAACTATCACTAGGACGTCTGAAACGCTTGGTTATAACTTCTTGCAAATTTGACTCCCAACTCTGAAGATGAAAATGATTCTCATGAGTACCTGCAAAAGAGAGCATAGGATCTTCCCGCAGTCCCACGAAGCTTAGGGGAAGCCTGCCAAGTGAGAGGGCAGAGCAAAGGGACTTACCTGGTCACTAACAAGAATGTGAATCCCAGTGGGACCCTGTCTGTAAACTTGGTTAATTTGGTGGAAGGGAATATTAAACACCAATGCAAGTTTTCGAGCAATTTCTGAGGCAACCATTTCTTCTAAGTAGATTGCATGATAAACTGAAATTAAAAAAAAAACAAAAAACAGCACTTTAACAGTAATCTTTCATCTGCTTTCTGATATATAAAATCATACTTTTCAATTTACAAAACACACGTGTGTGTAAATATATATATATATGTATATATATGTATATGTATATATATATATATATATTAATTAAAATGGGAACAAACCAGGCCAGTGGGTGGGATGGAGGTTAAGGTGCTGAATCCCATTTCAAGTCATGGACCCAGCAGCCTGAAACTCATGTCACGTGTACATTTGCCCAAAATGCCCAGAGAATGGAGAAGGGACTTTGGAATGGCTGTCTCCCCAGGGGGGTGACTCCTCACTTTTCCTGGCAAGCACACACATCCTCTAGCAAAAGAAGAAAAACATTTCTTTTCCCCTCTTACTACCTTACAGTCAACAGCAGCCCAGCTGAAATGTAAGAATATATCTGTGCTCATACCACTTCATTTAGCAAAATTGTCTATACAAAAAGGCCAGGTTTTTAAAAATATTTTTTAAATGTAATTTATTCATTTATTTTAATTTGACCAGAGAGAGAGGGGCGGTGGGGTGGGGGGAAAGGCGTGGGAAAGCAAGCCAGGTCCAGGACTCAAACCGTAGAAGGCGTGAGAAAGCAAGCCAGGTCCAGGACTCAAACCGTGGTTTGCCATGTGGGAGTGCTCAGTGCCTTAACCAACACACCACCTGCTGGTCTCAAGGCCAGATTTTAATACTTCTTTATGCTCGTATTTTTCTGCAGTGAATCTAGGGTCTCATATGTTAAGCATTCAAAAACAAACAGCAAACTGGCATGGGGATCTTTGTAGGGTGAGGGCACCGAGACACCCTCATACCCACCGTAGGGCGCCCCACTGCCGTTCTCGCCTCCGCTGCCTGCAGCTGGCTGCGGCCCTGGCAGAGGTGTGCCACTCGGCTGCTCCTGGCAGACGTAGATGGTTAGACGGGGCCTAACCGACCTGCAAGCAGAAGAGCGGCAGATGAGCCTCGGAGAGAAAGCAGCCTTGCCGCATGAACACGTGACAACTACAGGAATCTAGTCTAGCCTTAGGAGACTTTACAGTGTTATCTCGTTATACAAAGTAATTTACTAGTAAAAATATAAAAACCACACACCTCACAACAACTATCACAGGTGGTCTAACATGACGCTCCAGACTCTAAACCATTGAGATGGTCTGTCAGATGCTGGTAAATTTAAGTTTCAAGATTAAGTCAGCAATTTAAAATCAGTTAAGACTCGATTTTAATGGAATTCTCATACCACGATTCTAGAAACAGCAAGGATAGTAAATGGATCTTACAAGCCAGCACAGTTTATAGGTCTAGCATTTTAATTCACAATGAGAGGTTTACATTTTTAATAACTTTTAGTAATAGTCACGACCTTGAAAACCATAGATTCTGTATAGCTCACCTAAATTAGAAGTTTTGTTTTCTTGGCAACAAACCCAGTCGTCTTCAAGAAATCAGTACTGCCCATGTGCATTGCTACCAGTCTTAGTCTACCTCTGCCCTCAGCAGGGCCTGCCCTGAAGGTGTACACAAAACAGTCTTCTTGTGAGCGCAAGGCTGCCAGCGTTCGACGGCGCACACGGGCACCCGCCGACCTAGCGTGGACACGCGTCTGCCCGAGCTCCCCGCGCGAAGGAAGGTGCGTTTGTATTTTCAGCAAAACGGTTCGCGCTATTTTTACCTTGACTTCAGGGAATTATAGAGCCGAATTCCATCGGCTGCACCACATATTTGAACTAAATCCTCCTTTGTCAGTTTTAATAAGTCGGCACCTGGGGAAAAGCAAGGAGATTCTCTTCACAGAAATGAAAACCGCACCAGCAGAACTGGCTTCTTTACATGCATGTGTCACTGTGCAGTTAGAGGTCGTTCAGAGCAATCACAGGTGTCCTGAACACACACACGTACACGCACCCCCGTCCTCGGGAGCCAGAGAGAAGGCCGATGTTTCGATGTCCCGTAGCAAGGATTTTTGAGGGATTTTTGTTCTGTTCTGAAGCGGCTGCTAGATCCAACACTGAGCAGGGGACTGTCTGTTCCCACCGCACGACTTCACGGACTACCTCAATAGTGGCCACGCAGTGGCTGTATGGATAAACAGGATTCTCAAGGAGAAATAAACCTTGAGATTGCCTAGGCCAGTCGATCTTTCATCTTACAAAGAAGAAATGAAGCTCAGGGTTTCGGAGACCGCCCAAAGTGACACCGCATGGACTGGCAGCAGGTGAGGCCGGGCAACATGCAGCACAGCTGAACACACGGCCACACGACAACTCCGCCATGCGCCAGCTTCAGCAGGGAAGGGTAGCACACGCTGCACACTGCACTGCACATGGAGGCCTCCCCTAAGTGCTCGGTGAGTGTGAAGGCCACGGCATCCACAATTTACCTTAGATACAACACCCGGGCAGGAGGGGAAGCAGGAGAGGGAGACTAGACCAGGCCGGTCAGGTTCGTGAATTTTTTCTCAGTGGGTGTGTGTGTTCACCAGAGAGGGAGAGACTGCCCCGATGGGGTGTGGTCACGCTGCAAATCCTTCTCTAGCCCATCAGGATTTTTTTTTTTTTTGGAGAAGCTTTTGCCATAGGGCGCGTGCGCTCGCCAGCCAGACAGAAAGACATAGAGACAGAAAACGAGAAATCACCCCCCGGAGGGGATGGCCATGCTGCAATCCCTTCTCCTCCATTCTCCTCTTGGGATCTTGGGCATGCACGCACATGCGCCTGGCGTGAGTGTTAAGCCACCGGGTCCAGAACACAAACCGCGGTCGACTACGTGGGAGTCCAGTGACACAGCCATTACGCTAACTGCTGGTCCTGCCCATCAGGATTTGAGACACGAATGCACACACACCTGGCTTGTCTTTCAAGCTGCAGGGGCCAGGATTCAAAACACGCCAGCCACGTGGGATCCAACTTCCTTAACTGCTAGGCTACAGGAGAGTCCGTGTCTGGCTGTGTCTCTGAGCTCTTATTTTATCCTTTTACTAAGTCAAGATGCAGTTCACTGGAGGGATCAAGATGGCCTCTGGGATGGAGGCATGGCTTCCATACGACAGGTATCCACTTACCCACCTAACAAGATAACGGGGCTACTGTTCTGTTCTTAAGGGCTTCAGCGTGAGAGCCTAGTAAGTTTCCAGTTCAGAAAGGCACTCGAGACCAGAAGCAGCTCTCCTCCCGTCTCTCACCTAGGGCCTAGGGCACCTCTGAAATATGGCTCACAGCCTCGACCGTGTGTGTGCACATGCGCACCCTGAACCACACAGGGAACTGGACAGACGGCCCCGAGCACCACCTTTCCTGACACGTGACTGCCCAAGAGGCTCAGAGCGAGAAGCCCACTCTCCCCCATCATTCTGTCGTCAGTGCTGTGGCTCAGGTGACCTGCCAAGGGCTGGATGGCCAGTCCCCCTCCACTGGCCCTCCCTCCAGGAGGAAGGAAAAGGTTGCAGGCCAGGCCACGTGATCACTGCTCACAGCGAGATCTCAGTGCTCGCCAGACAGAGACACGTATCTGCCTAACAGGACAGGAGTGGCCGGGCACCTGGTAGCTCCCGAGAGCTGTGCCCCGCGGCTCTGCCTCTGCGCTGGGCTGTCACTGCCGTCCCTGCAGGGCTTCGAGATGACCCACTCCCATCCTGACATTTCATAGTTCCTGGTTTCTCACACAGAGGAGGCTTTACCTAATCATGTAAAAACGTGGATCCCAGACTCCCACCTGGCACTTTAATTTTAAAGAGACAAAGAGCTCCAAGGGGAATGGCTGACGACTCACTGCACAAACATTGCGTTACCTAGCGGGAAGCCATGTTCTTCACAGAGTGGGCGTGTGCACAGATGCCCTGTCCTCTTCGGAATCAGCACTGCGTTTAACGGCCCCACAGCACTGCTGGCAGAGGACAGCCCGTGCCACTTCACTGCGGCCAGCGTTTTCAGGATGTCTGGCCACGATGCTGGCAAGCGCTCTGTGGGTCAACAGTCCCAGAAGTGCTGCCCCCTTCCCACCGGCATACCTACGACTGTCAGCAGGCTCCCACAGCGCCACACAGAGAAGCTCTGCTGGTACTTTTTAATATTCCATCTATGCGACCAGCAGTTGGTGAAATGGCTACACTGCTGGACTCCCAACCATGGCAGTCAACCATGGCTCAAGTCCTGGACCCAGTAGCTTAAATTCACACCAGGCACGTGTGCGTGCGTGTCTAAGATCCCGAGAGGAGAATGGAGGAAAAGGGATTGCAGTGTGGCCATGCACCCCCCGCCCCCCCAAAGGAGTGATTTCTTGTTTTCTGTCTCTGTCTTTCTGGCGAGCACACACGCCCTATAATAGCAAAAAACAAACCCTCTAAAAAAAGGAAAGACAAAAAAAAAATTCCATCTATGTACTCTCTCTCCCTTACCTTACTTACTGTGCGATAAAAAAGTACACATAAGCATGTAAAAACTACAGCTCGGGGCCGGCAGGTGGAGTGGTGGTGAAGGCACTGGACTCCCACATGGCTGACTGTGGTTCAAGTCCTGGACTTGGCAGCTTGCTTTCTCACTTTCCCTCTCTCTCTCTCTCTCTGGTCAAATTAAAAACAATAAATATTTCAAAAAAAAAAAGAATTCATTCATACTGTGAAATACTCTCAACAATAAAAAAATATAAGACAGGTCAGCTGGTGGTATTGTGGTTCAAGTAAATGGATCCCAGGGCCAGCAGGCGGTGTGGTGGTTAAGGCACTAAATCCCATCCCTTCCCCCTCCCCCTTTGTTTTTGGAGGAGAGGGGCAACTTTATAATTATTTCAACCAACTCTGTGGTTCAAGTCATGGACCTCGATCCTTGAAAAACACGCCAAGCATGTATGTGTGCATGCCCAAAATCCAGAGAGGAGAAGAGATTGTAGCGTGGCCATCCCCCCAGGTGACCTCTTACTTTCTTTTTCTCTCTCTGGCAAACAAAAATCTAAAAAAAATTTTAAAAAATGAATAAATAAAGTGGCTAGATTGCATGTGGTAGACTGCACAGTGAGAGTCCTGGACCTGGTGGCTTGAAAAACATGCAGGGACAGGGGCAGCGGGGGGCTCTATATATATATATATATATCCCTCCCTGGTCAAATAAAAATAAATGAATGAATGAATGAAGTTAAATAAAACAATTCATTATGGAAAAGAAAAAAGAAAAGCACGCCGGGTACATGTGTTGAGTGCGTCCAAGCCCCAGAGAGGAGGACGAGGCGGAGAGAAGGGGCGGTAGCTGGCCGCGATCCAGCGGGGGAGCGTTCTTCCCTTTCTCTGTATCTGTCTCTCTCTGGCAAGCACATGTGCCCGCTAGCAAAGCAAAAACCAAAAACTTGGACAGCCTGGGTGGAGCTTGAGTTCATTATGCCGAGTGAGAAGAGCCAATCTCTAAAGGTCACACACATGATTTCGTTTATGTAGCATTCTCCAAGTGACAAACTCAAATGGACAGAAGACCGTTTCCCAGGAACCTGGGGCAGTGCGGAAGGGAGTGGGTGTGGGCGTGACCACACAGGCTAGCAGCAGGGAGAGCCTTGCAGTGATGACACAGCTCTGCATCTGAACTGTGGTGGTGGTGCACAGAGCCACACGTGACACGCTGACACTGGACAACCTCACACGTACGCTGTCAAGTTCCTGGTTTAGATCCTGTGCTAGAGTTACATGAGGAGCCGGGGGAAGGGGACACGGGGACACCTCCGTACTGTCTCTACAACTCACTGCATGTGAGGGCAGAGCTCTGGTGACGCCGTGACAGCACCGACTGCCTGATGCTGGCAAGTGTCCTCGGTATGTGAGGTGCACTAAGGAGACCTGGGAGGCGGGTAAGTGAGGCAGCCCTGTACTTGTGGGGGTTTTCCCATTTTTTTTTTGGGGGGGGACATTATGAATATTTCAAAATCTGAAACAATGTCAAGTTGATAGAAACACAGAAACAAGTAAACCACCCACTCTCCCACATACACGCACTGCTGCGCATGCACACATATACCTGAAAAATTAGAAAACAGTCTTGTGTAGGAAGAGAATCTGTTTTTGAGCAGCCACTGCTGAGTTTCCTGGATCGTCGCTGAAGGCTGAAGTTGCTATAAACAGAGAAAATGAACGAAAATAGAAGAAACCGTTCAAACATGCGAAAAATAACCCACGCTGCTGGCATGTTACAAAGAGCATTTAAACAGAGCCAGAATGCCTCAACAGTCTGAAGTGAAAAAACGCCCAGGAATAAGGTGAGCGCGACTACTCGGAGCCCCGAGCTCTTGTCGCAAACTGCCCAGGGCAGGGGCCCGAAGCTACTGAGGGTTTCCCAGCAGGTACTTACTTCACCAGAGGTCTGTGAAACTCCATCTCCCTGATGGTTTGGGGAAGAGGAATTGCTAGGAGAAAGGAGAAGGAAGAAAAAATGATTTTTATGAAAAAAAATTTTTTAAATTAAGACACTAAATGCTATTAAACCAGGTAATGTTAAAGAGAGTGCTATGAGAGACAAAGAAGTTTGCGATGGGAATGCAGGCACGACATTAGGGCTGAATACGGTGATGAGTTCAGATAGAAGAAAACTGTTTTACTGCATTTGTGCCTTGTCCTCCATCTGCACTAGTTAAGAGATTCGCGTTTTGTGAAGGAAAGGGGCTCCCCCGGTTATCTCTAAGGTTGCAAGAGAAATGAAAGATGCTCATTCATCTCAGTTAGGAAAAAAATATATGAGAAATCAAATAAGGTAAGCAGATGAAAATAAAGGCAAAAATAATCTACATAAATAATAAGAAGTGGTATAATGATCCTAAGCAAAAATACAAAATAACACCCCTTTGGGGCCAGCAGTTGGCATAATGGCTATGTTGCTGGACTCCAATGTAGTAGACCAAAGTTCGAGTCCTGGACCCGGTGGCTTAAACACAAGTTGGGCACGTGTGCATGCATGCCCAAGATCCTGAGAGGAGAAAGGAGGGATTACAGCGTGGCCATCCCCCCCTAGAGGGTGATTTCGCTCTTTCTGTCTGTCTCTGTCTTTCTGGCAAGCGCACGCACCCTACAGCAGAAAATCTCTATTAAAAAAACAAACAAACGGGAACCAGCAGTTGGCGTAATGGCTATGTCGCTGGACTCCCACGTAGTCGACCGCGGTTCGCGTCCCGGACCCGGTGGCTTAAAACTCACGCCGGGCACGTGTGCGTGCGTGCCCAAGATCCCGAGAGGAGAATGGAGGAGAAGGGATTGCGGCGTGACCATCCCCCCTGGGGGGTGATTTCTCGCTTTCTGTCTCTATGTCTCTCTCTGTCTGTCTGGCGAGCACACGCGCCCTATAGTGAAAAATCTCTCAAAAACAAACAAACAAACAAACAAAAACACCCCTTTAATGAATACATTTATCTACAATTAAAGAGGGTAAAATTCGAGAGGACAAAAACTTGAACCCCTTTCCCTGTGTTTCTAAGGTACAGTGAGGATGAACACAGGCCTGCAGGGAATGCGGCCACCTTCCCGGCTCCCAAGCACTGACCACCTTCATAGCTCCTGGACCTCAGTTACTCAGACTCAGGCTTAGGATGCTGACTGCTCGCCTCCCAGGGTCCCCTCCGGAACTGAAGCTCTTTCAGACACCGGCCTGCCTGTTTGGTCACCAAAGTATCTTAGCACCCTGCATAGTGCTGAGAACACAGTGAGGTCTCTGGAAATGCCCAATTAGGGGCCGAATGAATTCACAGCACATCTACGAAGTCACAATAATCTAATATTGACTGGCCTAAGAAACTAGAAGAGCCCTTTTACAGTAACTTCCCAATCTTGTTTTATTTCTGAGTTCGAGAGTATTTTTCTACTCTTAAATAAAACACAATAACCTATGTGAATGCAAAGGAGCTGCCTTAGTTTACCTGACTCCTCAAGGTCAAAAAGCATGTTTTGGTTTTCTCACGAGACCTCGTTGGCATAACCAAAGAAGAGAACCTCCTCCTTTGTGGTCTAAGCTTTCATAATTTTCCTAACAAGAAAATTCCTCAGTGCAGGGAACTTCCGATCTGATTAGTTCCTGGCAAAGCCTTTAAGACTGGGAAGCCCTCAGACATGGACAGCTGGTGTGGGGCTGCATCTTCAGGGTGCCCCCAGACTCGGTCTCCTGAGTCGAGAGCTCCCTAGACTCTCTGCTGCCAGTCAACAGAATACAAAAAGCCCACCTTTCTCATTTCTAAAGCCACAGGAAGTCTTTGCAATTGAAAAATCTTCCTTCCATCTTAAGATGCAATTTTAGGAAAAATACAGTGTGCCTGTTAGAAAATAAACAGGCCAGAAAACAGCGCGTTTGATGGTGAGACAGAGACAGCCGTGCCTTGCAATAAACGTCATCTATATTCAAGGCAGTTCACCTGAACCACTCACGCTGCCCTCCTCTCTCCACCTATGACCCTCATTTGTGTTGTCTTCAATCTCACAAAACACACTCATTGGCTGTGTCTCACAAATGCCCCCCTTTTCCACATTCCCGCAGCTGTGAATTGTGAAGCACAAGGCAGGGATGAGTGAAAAGGATGATGGGAGAGGAAAAGACCCCGAGGCACGGGACTGGGTGCTCTGGAGACACGACAAAGAGGCTGGTGGGAGAGGAGAGAAAGGAAACGCAGGGGCGCGCGCAAGGGGGCCGCGGGCCGTGGTCACACAAACCAGGTACCTGTCCGGGACACTGCAAGTGCTCGGCTGTGGGGAGGTGAACGCGGGCGCTGGGGAAGGGCTGTTATTCACATAGGCTGTGGGGGTATCGGGCCATGGAGAACACTAAGGACAGAAACAGAAGTAAATTAATGGTGTGCTTTTAACATAGGCGGAAGAAATACTTGTGTAATTCACTCTCTAGTCTGGCCCGATGCAAGGTCATAAAACACAAGACACGTGACGCTCCTCACGCACCCTCACAGACACGTCATCCTGACCTCTGTGTGCAAGTTACCTGCTCTGTGCGTCTAGACACTGATTAATCTTAGGCAAGACCTGAAGTGATGACAGCAGCAAAAATTTAAAGGCATTTTAAATACAGACTTCAGTTATTTGCTTCAAGAACGTCCACCTCCCTCTTTACCAGTATCCGCTTTATCTGTTCCCCAACAGGCACGTACCCCAGGGTTCCAGGACAGCAGAGGAAAGAGGATTCATAAGCGACACCCGGCCTCGCACGCTGGCCTGGATCGCAGCCCTCGCCTACCTGGTGCTCTTCCCGCCCCTTCCCAAGGAGCAGCCTCACCAGTACCCATCTGCTTCCTCGAGATCTCTTAATAGCAGGGAAGACTAGGCAGCCCCAGCATCAAAACACGTCGAGGACGCTTGGTACTGCCTCTATGCTCCCACGGAGGTTTAATGACTCTGATTTTCCGGAAAGGACATGACCATCAAGTATTTCTCAGCCCTTGGCAAAACTCTGGCCAAAAATACCAAAACACATCGACTGTGACAGTCAGGGGAGTCAGTAAAGCCCAAGTAAAAAGCTCACTAAGCGGTCCAAGGACGTCTCAAACAGGCTCTCACCCTAGGGAGCCAAATCCATTTCGTTCCACAGGCGTTCTCTCTAACTCATCTGCCAGAGGGTGCAGTTTCAAGGGTGCTCTTTTATAAGTGCCCTTCTCCATGTTACACAGGAAAGGCATTGCAGCTAGCCATGCCCCTGGGGTGGGAAACTCTCCCAGAGCCAAGCAAAAGGGATTAAGCTAGATACTAAGAGAGCAGTGACTAATGACCAAACTGGTTATTTTTTGTGTGCCAGGTGTGTTTCAAGTCTTTCTTTTTTCCTTCTGGTTTTTTTTTTTCATTTTTTAGAGTTTTTTGCTATAGGGTATGTGTGCTTGTGGGACAGACAGAAACAGCGAAACAAAGTGAGAAATCACCCCCAGGGGGGATGGCCACTTCACAATCCCTTCTTCTCCATTCTCTCAGGATCTTGGGCACATATGTGCAAACACACCTGGCATGAGTTTTAAGCCACTGGGTCCAGGACTGGAACCGCAGTCAACTACATGGAAATTCAGCAACATAACCATTGCGCCATCTGCTGGTCCCTTTTTCAAAATAATTTAGGACCTATCATCGGTTGAAATAATCTGAAATAATCTACTAGATTATACCAAAAAACAGAGAACTCAGATTCTGGGCAAATGAGTCAGAAGTTCTTTCAAGACCTAAAAATCACTGCTGAAAAATTATCTAAACAAAGTTTCTCATATCTATTAAAAACCCTCAATACATATTCTATCCTGTCTTATCATTCAAAATTCATTTACAAAACCTTTTCTGTTTTTATATTTAATAAATACTCATCAAAATTCGTGGGAACCAGCAGTTAGCGTGATGGCTATGTTGCTGGACTCCCACGTAGTCGACCACGGTTCATGTCCCAGACCTGGTGGCTTAAAACTCACGCCGGGCGCATGTGAGTGCTTGCCCAAGATCCCCAGAGGGGAATAGAGAAGGGATTGTGGCGTGGCCATCCCCCCTGGGGGGTGATTTCTTGCTTTCTGTCTCTATGTCTCTCTCTCTCTGTCTAGAGAGCGCATGCACCCTATAGTGAAAAACCTCTCCCAAAAAAAAGAAAAATAAAGTTCGTATGATGTATTTTGGTAAATGTACACTACTGGGGCTGAGTGTAGCAGCACTCTGAGGATGACCCACGTGGGAACGTGTGGGGTTCGCCTCCGGGGACCCTCCTGAGTACACCAGGCCTGCGTGCGCCCATGATCTGGGGCTGGCTGGAGCTGGGTATGGGATCACGGCAGCCAGACCACCGTAGGGATACTGTTTGTCTCTCTTATTCATGGAGGAAATAGACTTAGAAATAAAATTGGTACTAAGTTTCACATTTCTCAGTTAAGAAAATTTTTTAAAAATCTAACTTTGATTTACGTGAGTTTGTTGTAAAGAAGTAATGAGGGAGACCCTTTAAAGATTTCAGACACACAGGTATGTCCTACTAGGATAAAATTTAAGGAGAGGGGAACAGAAACATAAGATCAGGAAGGAAGAGAACAGTAAAATTTTAGATCTAGCTACAGAAGCTTCCTCATAGAGTTTTAAAAAGGAACAATGGTAAATGTCCAATCACTGGGGTATTTGGATTCTGTAGCACGTACTGCAAAGGCTAAAGTAACAGTTTATCTTAAATTGTAATTATAAATATTCCCCACACCAGAAAACTGACTTCTGTGCAACTGTGTCGATTTACAAGGGCCAGCCTTGTGGCCCAGTGGTTCAGAGCTTTGAACTGGGAGCCAGCTCCCACATGGCCGATGGCCAGCCACAGCTCAAAGTGCAGCCCCAGAAGCTTGAAAAGCTCACCAGCTGTGTGCACGCGTGTATGTGTCCAGAATCCTGACGGGGTGGAGAGCTGGGGAGCGAAGTGTGGCATGAGCACACTCCACTGGGGGGTGCCTTCTCCCTCGTTCTCTCTTTGAGCCCACATACCCTCTGACAAATAAATGATGAAAATTTATGGATGTCACCCTTAAAATGTGCAAGGGAGTACATTTTGAATCCTTTTTCAGAGTTATTTTGAGCAGGGAAATAATGTCAGGACTATTCGAGAAAAAATACTGACATACTCTGAGGGCAGAAACCTATGGTTACAGGGGCTTACAACTCAGATCTGATATCCCCCCAGAGCATGGATACAAGGAAAATAAAACAAGAAATCCCAGAATCTTAACAACTAACAAATTATGTATCTCCTCAAATACGAGAGAAAATGATTGCAGGCTTTTTTTTTCTAACTACTGTCAGACATCTTCCAAAAAAGGAAACCTGGGGACAGAGACTGTCACAGTGGTAAAATGTGACCCTCTGCAAGGCTGACCCATGTGGGCAGGCTCTGGGTCTGCATCTGGAGACGGCCGTGAGAACCGTGGGCACTCACCTGCCCAGGACCCGCTGAAGCTGGGAGTGGGACACAGAGCTGAGACTCTGTTGGGGGTACCTAACTCTCACTCATGAAAGAAACACATAGATTAAAAAACTGGTAACAATGGAAATCCAACCTAGCTGAATGGCTTTGCCAAACTTACTCCATGGCATATCAATTTTACCACCAATGACTTTTTACAAAGAAATGCCCTTTCTTTTAAGTTAGGGCCTATGGGGCCAGCAGGTAGATACTGGTTAAGGTGTTAAGACTCCCACATGAGTGATGGTGGCTCAAGTCCTGGACCTGGCAGCTTGAAAATCTGGGCAGGTGTGCAGGTGTGCCCAAAATCCAAGGAGGAGCAGGACCAGCACTTAGCGTAATGGCTATGACTCCCATGTAGTCGACCACGGTTCGCATCCTGAACCTGGTGGCTTAAAACTCACGCCGGGCGCCTGTGCGTGCGTGCCCAGGATCCCTAGAGGAGAATGGAGGAGAAGGGATTGCGGTGTGGCCATCCCCCCTGGGAGGTGATGTCTCGCTTTCTGTCTCTCTGTCTGTCTGGCAAGCGCACACACCCTATAGCAAAAACCTCTCCAAAAAAAAATAAATAAATAAAGTCTCCCCAAATTTGCTTACTACCTTCTACTGATGAAATGAAGCCATCCAAAAGCTTCGGATTAACATGGCAGAGAGAGACGCCGAGTTTATTTGCCGAAGCTCCATAAACATCCCCATTTCACTCTAACACGTCCAGATCCCCTCGGATGATTAATGCCATTGAAAGTATGCAATGAGCGTCAGTCAGAGGGTGCAGTGGTTACGGTGGCTGGATCCCAGCTGTGCGGTTCGAGTTCAGTGGCTTGAAAGCCACACTGTGTGCGTGTGTGTGTGTCTAAACACAAAGAGGCACATTCCCTCTCGCTCTCTGTCTCTTAATCTCTCTCTCTCTGGCAAAAGCATGCACCTTACAGCCCATTTTTTAAAAAAGTATGCAGTGAGGACCAGCCCATGGCCTGGTGGTTAAGGGGGCTAAATCCCACATGGCTGACCATGCATTTTGAGTCCAAGACGCAGGTGCTTAAGAATCAGCCCGGGGGGGTCAGCAGGTGACATGGTGGTTAAGGCACTGGACTCCCACTTGGTTGACTGTAGTTTCAGTCCTGGACCTGGACGCTTGAAAATCGTACTGGGTACATATGCGTGCACCCAAAATTCCAAGAATGGGGGAAAAGGGATTGCAGCACTGCAGCGTAGCCATCCCTGCTAGGGGAATAATTTCTCACTTTCCCCCTTTCTGTCTCTATCCAGCAAGCACACACATCCTATGGGGGCACGAGGGAAAAAAAGGAAGAAAAAGAAACATGCCAAGTGCATATGCGTGCATACTCAAAATCCTAAAAGGAGGGAGAGGCGGAGAAAAGATTGTGGCATGCCCATGTTCCATGAGCAATGCTTTCTCCCCTACCCCATCACAAAAGCACCTGTCACAAGGAAAAAAAATGAGTGAATAAAAATGACAGTGTCTATACAGACCCTAGCAATACCTGGCCTGGACTTGGGTATGTTTTCAGCATACTACGAACATGTTCGCTCCCAGGAAGATTAAAGAATGACCACATGTTCTTAGGCCGCAGAAACTGAGCCAATCTGGTACAGCTGAGAAGCGAAGACCGGCAGACAGACTGCAGGCTGCAGTGTGCAGCGTCGCCAGGTCACCAGCAGCACACACACAGCAGTGAGTGACCATGTCTGGCGGCTTTAAACTTCAACAGTTTGTCTGGATAGCCTTCTGTTTTTACTGATAGCCCACTGTGACTATCCAATAGCTCTAAGAAATACTGGTCTTTTGTAGGCCTTTGAAGAAATAGATAAAAGGCTGTGGGACTCATTTTTAAAGGGTAAATGTGCACCCTGCTTCTTCTGAACGGGTTTCCAGGATGAGCTCTAACCACCCCTAGCATAGTAGCTACACAGAATGTAGTCAGGGCAGAAGCAACAACCAGGAAGATGTGAAATCCCAGGCCAGTGAACTGCTGACGTTTTGCAAACTTTATTGAGTCGAAAATCAATAATTTACCCAAAATGTTCCCTTATTCAGATTAGCAAAGAACTACACTTTCTCTTATTCATGAATTACCGGAATCCTTTTCATTAAATTCATTGAATGGCTTGTAACAGGAGGGGGAAGATAATTTATGTTAGCAGGATCCCTCCGCGGTAGTTTACTAAGAACCATTTGTGGTCTTGAGCTGGGAAAGCAGAAGGCGATAAGAACATCAAGTTGGGGAGGTGGCCGTTTTGGGGTAAGGAGTACACAGCTGTCCAGACGACATTTGATTTCCATCAGCAAAGGTCAGTTCCGGGTAATGCCAACATGTGCGCCCTGCGGCGCCTGGATGAGTACATTTTCAATTCTGTTCTACAGAAAAGCATTTAAAATACTGTTCGTAGATGCTTTACTTTTAAAAGGAGGTTCTTGTGACAGTGCTTATGACAAAGGATTTTCAGTCTACATTTAATCACAGATACGCATGTCAAAGTAAAAAGCCCTGTTTGGGGCCCCTTACTAGAGCAGCACTGCTATGATGGACAGAGTAGCCGCTAACACACATCATGACCGTGACAGTTAAAAGCTCATTAACGCTGTGAAGGCATTTCCTGCGGTATACAGGTCACCCCGGTTTGCCTAGCAGGATAAACCTTCGTAAATCCAGATGAAGAGGGACGTCATAAAAAGTCATGCTCAATCTGGCGACGCTCACAGTCAACCCCAAAGCCCGAGTGCACGGCGGGAAGCAGGGCCCAGTGCAGCGAGGTGCCCTGCTGTGGCTGGAGCATTCGGGCACGACGCAGGTGCCGGGATGAAACACCAATGCAGTCAAAGACTTTCCTCTACCCGTGCTGCCGACTAGGCTTTTAAAAGCACAGACGGACACACGCTCTTATACTACATGCTGGGAAGTGGGACATCAAGTACTGCAAACGCTCATGTCAAGCTTGCTGCCATCGTTCTGCTAAGTAGCCATGTTTTTATAAAATCAGGTATACACATGAAAAAGAAAACCTTTTTAATTACACAAAAATGATAACTATTTTACTACAGAAAGTATTTGCGGTTCATTTCGGTGCTCTGGAAGGAGGTGCATGTGTGAAGGAGAAGGAGGGAGGGGGAGAGGGGAGGAGACAGGGAGGGAACACATATCTCAGAGTGCCTTTTTTTCCCTCCAAAACCACCCAATATGGTCGACATCGTTTTTGCTTCGTTTTAAAGTGTTAGATTTAGGAAATTTTCCTCAGTGAGGAACAAACAGAAAGCAGGAAGTCTAAACAAAAGCAAATTAAATCAAGACATGGACATCGAAAGCAATTTTGGCTTTACTTTTCGGTGGAGGTTGGTCCTATATCTAACACTGCACAAGGGTTCTTGCACAATGAAAGGAGAAGCAGAAGTCCCTTACACTGCCTCGCTTTGCCAGAGAATCACCGTAGTCTGCTGGCAAAGTCCGCTTGCTGGACTTTTTCTGCTCATGTTCAACTGCATCTTCAATTATAGGCTCAAGCCTCATCTGGACAAACACCAAAGATTGGGATCAATGTCTTTTCATTACACAAAGAAAGATCTAAAACCCTGTTTCATGTCTCTGCAGTCCAATTAAATAAATGTTCGACTAACAGGATTCAATGTTAAAGAAAATGCAAAACCCCAGCAGTGATAAAAAACCAGACATTCTAGGCCCCGACTTAATCTCTTGCCAATGCCAAGGTTTTTAAGGTCTTTTCCTGAGACCTGATTGGGATTTCAGCATCTTCATTCAAGATCCCACCCGGGACACTAATCTGTTAAAATCCCGAAAGTTAAATAAAATATTTCCCCCACAAATTGCACAAAGACTATCGTGTCAATCTACCACCCAATTGTCCCCAACCCCTTGTGGCAAAACTCATCTTAGAGACAGTGCTAATATGCAAACCTCTGCTTCTCTTCCCAACCAAATGCCACTGTACATTACCTCGGTGAGGATTGTGGTATCATAGGACGGCTGATACTTTTCTTTCTCGTGAGCTGTTCTCTTCTCCATCTTCTCTCGGTCAGTTTTTTGTTTCCTGTCTGCACCTTTGGGCTTAAAAACAAAGCAGATTACTTCCTCTATCGGGCTACACACAAACAGCCTTACAAGAAAAACTGAGCCTTCATTAAAAGCAAGCTGGGTTCCCATCTCTCACCTTAAAGACTTTGATCTGGCAGCTGGCCGAGTGCAGATGATCTGTGTACTCCCCATTTTCGTTCTGCTTAAAGGTGTCAACCTGGATCCTAAAGGGCACCCCCTTTTCGCCTCCGTGTTTCCGTGGAGTGAATTCTGTGCTGATGCAGTGTACCTGAAAACAATCGGAGCTGAAATGGGCTCAAAGTACCTTCCACTCATCGCTTCCTGCTGTGGTCCATCTTGGCTGTCCCTGCCGCCATTATGAATTCACAATCTACTCATCAGCCAGGTCGTCTCTCGCCAACTTCCCTACTGCTTCTATCAGCTGGCTTTCTTTTCACAAACCCAGTAGAGACTTTCTGGACTTCCTGAGAATGAGCTCTCCCCATCATACCTCTCCTCTGTCACAGGACTCGATCCGCTGGAGGTCCAAAGTACCACCTACCCCACCCCAGGCTAGATGCTTCTCTCAGAGCCAGGGCCTGAGCCCCGTGCGATCCACTGCAACCTCGCCTCATCATCTGCAGCTGCTGCTGTTTGCCCACTATGGCCAGGACCCTGCTCCACCTAGCTGTCCTTCTGTCACTGCGCAGCACAGAACACGTGCCACTTTGCCTGAGACTTCCACAGGCCACAGCGCTCACTACTGGTCCTGCCTGTTTCACCTAAACTCGTCAGCCAATCTTTCCCACCACTGCCCTCCCTCCTGACAGCCCCAGGGTACTGCAGTGAGTAGCAGACCTTGGTCTCTTCAGACCACTACACATTCCCTCCTCTGATGGCAATAGAAAAACTCATCTCTGTGATGGAACTGTGCAACGTGAAACTAAAGGCAGGTCTTGAATCGCTTTCACAATCACTATACAACTAGCAGCAGTGTTAGGCAAGCACAGTGAGAAAACAGCCACCTAACATAAACCATGCCCCCAGTGACTACTAACTGACGGGGAGTATTACTTGATAGAACACCAAAATACAAAACACTTACACTTCATGCAACCTGTAGCCTAACTCAAGCTGGTAGGTACTGTAGTGGTTCTCCTTTCCTCTCTACAAATTACATACTCAAAGACTTAAATTCTACCACTCAGAAATTTTCACACGCTGGATATCAAAATTACAGTAAACTGATTTAAACGGAATAATGTACTTATTTTATTTAAAAACTCATCCCAGACTGTTTATGGATAAACTTATGCCCGGGATTTGCTTAAAAGAATTCCAACAATAACTTAAAAGGAAGGAAAACTATTAACTGCTAATGCCAGAGAGTTTTTATTATTATTATTATTCTTCTCTATTTGTGGGTTGAAAATTCCTGTATTAGGATGTTTCTCAAATAATGCTAGAAAGAGTTTTAAAACCTCGAAAATTTTCAATGGCGTTCTTGTAAATGGCAGTTTTTGTTCAAGAGAAATACATCTCTCAGAGTACAAATTCTTATTATGACTACCGGGGAGAAAACAGTGTTCGAATAATGCTTCACATACTGCAGAAAATCTTCGTACACGTGAGTCTATAATGCGATGGATTTCGTAGATAAAATTCAATTTAACTCTGCACATTAAAAAAAGGTATTACAAGACAGGTTACAAACAAGCATTTCAAGGAAATGAGGTCACGTGTCAAGAATTCAGCCCCAGCATGGCCTGCTGAATGACTAGGTGAGTGTGCTTCCAATAACGTAAAGATCCAAACCTGAATGAAAGCAGATGTGCACTTCGCAGGGTCCCACAGAAATTCAACCGCGTTTAACTGGCTTGGATTTGTCCTTGTGTCGATTATTCCCACAGACATTGGAATATCTGTATTTTAAAGAGAATTTACATAATACCGTCCATTTTAACTACTTTTTAAAATTTCAGCTTACTGTATTATGTTCTAATGAAAGGAATTATATCTGTGTTGATACGCATTATCCTTCAACGTCCACAGTCAACCTCTTCCACATCAAAACCCACCTAATAAATATTGTTTCTCCTACCATGGTTTATATTTAATTTTATTAAGAATGGTACTATGGGACCAGCAGATGGCGTAATGGTTACGTCACTGGACTCCCAAATAGTCAACCACAATTCAAGTCCCGGACTTGGTGGCTTAAAACTCACGCCAGGTGAATGTGCATGTGTGCCCAACATCCCAAAAGGAGAATGAAGGAGAAGGGATTACAGCATGGCCAGCCCCCCGTGCGGGGGTAACTTCTTGCTTTCTATCTCTGGTGAGCACACATACTCTATAACAAAAAAATCTCTCAAAAAAAGAAAAGAATGATACCAACTGAGAATTAAATGGTTTCAAAATCATAAAACTCTTGGTTCAGGTTTAGCATCTAAAAGTTACTTCACTTTTTAACTATAAACAACTCTTGGGCCAGCCAGTAGCAGGGTAGGTAGGGCAGCTGGATCCCACATGGCCAACTGGGCAATTCAAGTCCTGGACGAAGCAGTCTAAAGAACGCACCAGGAGCACATGCATGCATGTCCCAAATCCCAAAAAGAGAAATGGGGAAGAGACTGTGATGTGACCATCCCCTATGGGGAGTGTTTCCCCCGCCCCCCATGAGCATGCACACTCTTTGGAAAATTAAAGAAAAAATAAATAAAATACAACTCTCATGGCACGGAGGGTCCACTTTTCCCACACAGTAAACTACATGTGGTGCCAACACATGAATGGCTACAGCTTAACAATGCCCTCATCGCCAGTCTTATTTATTTACTTTGGGCTGGACGTTGCTCTTGCTCAGACCACAGGCACATACCACCACGCCTTTTCATACAGGGTCTTGCTACATTGCCCAGACCAGCCTTGAGCTCACAACCCTCCTGCCTCAGCCTCCCAAATCGCTGGGATGACAAGCACACGCCACCGTCACAGCCAGCCTTGGCTGGACCAGGACTCGAAGCTGGGCCTCCTGTGTGGTCAAAGCTTGCGGGGCACAGCATCTCAGCAGCACACAGCACTGCAGCTGTGCCCTCTGTGGTCTCTTACTGCCAGACGGACCTAAATCGAGAAGTCTATCTCCTGGGCGATTCCACTTCCAACCTTCCAGCTGCTGATGCTCTGTGTACTGTAGCCGCCTGTCATGGAACACGACCCTTATGATGCTCTGTGGAACAAGTGGAGAAAAACAGTACTTTAAACTCTTCCAGTTAAAATGAAGCATTTTCATTTCTTAAGTATTAACCTATAGTAGAAGAATGTACAAAAAGAGATTCTGCTTTAAACAACCCTAAGTGAACTTCTCTGCTCTCAGCTACCTTGATCACGGTGCATTTAACTGGTGCAAAGAACTAAATTTCGAAAATAAAAAGCACAAATGGGGTCAGCAAGTGGGATGGTGATTAATAAGAGTATTTTTGCAATTCAAAATTAAGGTATATTACCATGAAATTAGTGAGCAAGAAATACACCTCTATGAAGGAAGTTACATATGTACACGAGAATGATTAAAACAGAAGGTAGCATAAACAGAGATAGAGAAACCCAGGAATGATGGTAGGACTTGGTTAATTTAAAGTAATAGTTAATAAGTTTCTCCAAAAAGAAAGGCATTCATTTTAAGAGCCAACTGGCCAAAAATAAAAAACAAACCCACTCACTCTTCGCGAGAGAGAACCAAATTTAAAATCCATTATCAACTACCTTGCCTGCAAGTACGGTTATCTGAAGGAAACGGGAAAAATCTCGGGTAAATTTTATGCAGTCACTCGAATTCATATGGAAGGCTTTAACTGCTCTCTGCTCCCCTTTACCTCCCAGACAGTAGTTTCGAGCGCCAACTACTACCCCAGGAAGTGCGTAACGCGCCATCAAAGTACGCAGCAGGGGCCAGCAGGTGGTGTGGTGGTGAAGGTGCTGGATCTCACACAGCCAGCTCCGTGACTTGAGTCCTAGACCTGGTGGCTTGGGAAGCACACTGGGTGCATGTGCATGTGTGCCCAGAATAGAAAGAGGAGAATGGAGGAGAGAAAACCGTTACATGGCCATTTCCCCAGGGGATATTTTCTCACTTTCCCTCTCTGCCTCTCTTTGGAGAGTGCATGTGCCCAAAGGCAAAAATCTCTTTAAGGAAAAAAAAATCTTTAAAAAAAAAAAAAAAGTATCCGATACCAAATTTATACTAACAAATATTTCTGATACACTTATAACTTTCTTTTTTTAAAATTATCTTTTAAATTATTTCCTGCAAGACCCACCCGAGCACCTCTGGCAGTGAAGCCCCCCTCAGTGATGGATATGGGCTGGTGGCCCCAAAGTCAGAGGCTCATAGAGCTGGCCAGCTGATCGCTCAAGACAAAGTACGGCACAGAAAATATCATGACCGACTCTTCTATATTCAGTAAAAACTAGAATAAATCTACGAGTTCGGATGTAAAGAATACAAGAATATAGAGATCAGACGTAAGAGCTTTACGGCCTCCTTCCAGAAGTTCAGCCTAAGGTGGCACAGAACGAGAGATCGAAGGAGACCGAAGTTGGAGAGACCGTAAGATATGAAACTTTTCAAGCGGAACGGGAAGGGGAAAATCACCACCTGGTTGTTTTAAAAGGCTGGCTGCTACACACCTACTGAGTTAGCAATAGATGAGGCGGCCCTTCCGATGATTAATTAATGAGCATCAAGACAAAAACAGAACAAAAAGAGAAAGCGCGTCAGTGAATACGTTCAGCACATTCACGCGCTGAGGTTCTGAGGAAACTTTAGATAACCCAACATCTGATCCTAAATATTCTCCTGAAACTTAAGAAGTACAAAGATCAAAAGGCCAGTAAACAAAACTCTAGAAGGCTGAAGTCACTAAGGGACTCTAGCTGATGAAGGACGTGATTTCCAAGGGTGTCTCCCCGTACTCCTTGGTGGCAGCAGGCAGTAGCTCCGATCCCAGGCAAGCACTAAGAATCTAACTTGTATGCTGCCTCGGCCCCCAAAGTCAGACACGGGGCTCCTCAAACGGAAGGTGACCCTGAAGTGAAATTCTAAAAAAGAACTCTTTCAACCACTGGGCTAAATGTTTAAGAATACTGATGCTTTCAAATATTGTCTGGTCGAACAGGTTTGTGCAATGCCAGCCACCCGTTCACTGTGACGTGCAGTGATGTGGCTCCTCTCCTGTCAACAGGTCACTAACTCACAATGAAGTGTTGTTTTCACCTCATTTCTCAACTTGTGCTAATTTTGTGTATTAAATGGCTTAACATGCTTTCATTCAGAAGTAAACCCAAGGAAACTGAGCGTAAAGCAACCACTTCATTAACCCTCCCAGTCCAAGTTAACCTGACAGGTATTTTAAGTGGATTGCCAAAAGTATTTTACGTTTAAAATACACGAAGTCTCACCTGTCAGACTAGTTATTTCTATATCGTCTCAGCTATTCAGGGAACATCCTTAGAGAGCCAGCTTGCCTTCGCTGATAATTGACAATACCAACTGCTTCGGAATTGACTTCCTTCAATGCTATTACAGAAACTTAATTCTGGCGTTTTGTCTGGATGCCAAAAGTTAGTTTACTTATATGTTCCTTAATCACTGAATGACCATGTGTGAACTGAGTTAAAATTATGAATAAGCTCTGTAATCAAAAATGCATACAAAAAAGGTTTTGGGGTACCAGATGAAACAAGAGTAGCAAACATTTGTAACTTCTGAATTTGGCAAGAGAATTTAGGTAAGAGCACTATTCATGGTAACAGACACAGATGACCCGGTACACACTGCCACACGACCGACACACGTGGTTTCTCCTAGCATTCTCCCTACTTCTGGATGTGTTCGAGTTTTACCATGACAACTTAAAAGACTGTTCTAACATTTTTAGATCCAGTTTTAAGACCTAAGGACAAGGCCCATCAAGCCCTGCACTGTACAACAACTGTACTGCAGAACCAACAATTACATCAAACTCTCGGCTGATCAGTGGCACAGAGGTAATGCAATGCTCCGTGCTCCTGAGGCCAGGTGGCAAGGTCCTGGTTTGCACTCCGAGGTCTCCCTGTACGCACCAGGCCCACATGAACGGTGGCCATGACCCTGGCTGGCGGAGGCAGGGGTGTACCATGGTGTGAATACCCTATTGGAGGTGTCTATGTCTCTCTCATGGAAAATTTTTTTTTAATTTCTCAACCCTTTTACACTAATATATTTTAAAAAACCAGCATCTTAAAGTCATCAAATATAGTAACTTTCACCATGACAGGAAAGAACACCCACATCTCTCTTACCAAAAAAAAAAAAAGTAGACTTTTTTGGGGCTGGCAGGTGAAGTGGTGGCTGGGGCTCTAGACTCCCACATGGCCAACAGCAGTTTGAGTCCTCGACCTGGTGGCTTGCTTTCTCACTGCCCCCCCGCTGTGGTCAAATTAAAAAATAATAATAAAATTAAAATTAATAATTCTACAAAACAAAATTGAGGATTTTTGGTTAAACTGTTACCAAGTAAGTACCAAGGAACAGGTTGGCCAGGTAATGGCTATGTCTCCTACACCTAGGATGACTGACTTCTTCATTCAGACAGATACATCAGTAAAGTGAACAGAGATTATTATTATTATTACTAATTTTTTTGGAGAGGTTCTGTTATAGTGTACATGCACTCACTGGAAAGACAGAGGGATAGAAAGCGAGAAATCACCCCCGGGGGGGATAGCCATACCACAGTCCCTTCTTTTCCATTCTCCTCTCGGGATCTTGGGCGCGCACACACACACACGTACCTAGCATGTAGGCTGCCAGGTCCAGGACTCAAACCACTGTCGACTACATGGGAGTCCAGTGAGGTAACCGCCACTTACATTCTACTCCACATAATCTTTTACTTTTAAAGATAAGTTCACTGTTTTTGTTACATGATGGTAAGTTTTCTCCCCGTCACTACAACTGACTTTTCTGTTGCTCCTTGGATTCCAAGAGTCTTTCCCATTTATTTAACCTAATAACTGCTATAATTCCCATTTTATCGATGAGCTAACAAACAAAATAAAGCTCAAAAAGTTGTAAGTTTTAATATGGGCATTACTTCTTGAAATGAAATTAAGTAATTTTAAAATATAAACTCCTGCATCACTCTTACCTTTACTAATTTTCCACTGATCTCGGGCAAATCTCCCATTTTCCGATTATCCAGCATTCGGATTTCATATGACTGACCTATTTTTAAAAAATTAGAGATAAGAAAGAGTATATATTAAAAAATACAAAAAACCAGCATTCTGTGGCCAGCCGGCTTTGTGGTGTAGTGGTTAAGCCCTGTGCATGCAGAGCCAGACCCCACAGGGCCAACCACAGTTCCAACCACAGTCCTAGCAACTCGAAAAACACGTCAAATGGAGGAGAAGGCTTACAGTATGATCATGTTCCATTGGGAGGGTTCTCCCCACCCCATCTGAAAAGCACATGCGCCCTCTAGCAATTTAAAAAACCTACCCTGTTTAACGTAATTCAGCTGTCTCTTAGAACATATAATTACCCAATGTTAATTTAATTTGCTAGAGAATTCAGTTCAGGTTTATCTTTCTCTTCCCTGCAAATCACACCACCCTCTCCTTACACTGTTACAGAAGACTGAAAAGTCTGTCCACTATTTTCACCCATTCTCTTACATTAAACTTTTTATTATGCATGCACACACTATGTAAGATTAATTTTTTAAAGAATTATTTTAGTTATTATTTTATTTTTTATCTGAGTTTTGCCAGAGAAAGAGAGAGAGAGGGAGAGTTAAAAAGCAAGCCGTCAGGTCTGAACTCGAACTGCCGTCGGCCATGTGGGAATTCCAGCACCTTATACACCATGCCACCTGCTGGCCTGAAGACAATTTTTTTTTTAAAGAATCATTCTATTTGACTTTATTCATTTTAATTTGACCAGAGAGGGACAGAGTGAGAGAGAGAGGGCAAGTGAGAAAGCAAGCCACCAGGTCTGGGACTCAAACCAAAGTTGGCCATGTGGGAGGGAGTCCAGCACCCTTAAACACCACACCACCTTCTAGCCCCTATTAACAGTTTTTCAAGATAACTTATACGCCATAAAATTCTCCCTTTTCGGAACCAGCAGTTAGCATAATGGCTATGTTGCTGGACTCCCATGTAGTCAACCGCCATTCGAGTCTCAGACCCGGTGGCTTAAACTCATGCCAGGCGCGTGTGCATGTGTGCCCAAGATCCCGAGAGGAGAATGGATTGCAGTGTGGCCCTCGCTTTATGTGTCTCTGTCTCTGGTGAACGCATGCGCCCTATAGCAAAAACCTCTCTCAAAAAAGAAAAAGAAAAAAGAAAAAAATCACCCTTTTAAAGTGTATAATTTATTGATACATTTGTTTAATATTCAAAGCTGGACAATCACCACCACTACCGATTTTCATCATCCTGTAAAGAAATCCACAGTATCAGCAATCACCTTCCATTCTCTTACCCTGGTCCCCTCAACCTACTGCAACCACTAACCTACTTTCAGTGTCTAGGGATCTGCCTACTCTGGACTCTTCGTTTCAATATAATTTTAAAGGGGTTAGCAGATGGCACTGTGGTGAAGGTGCTGGCTGGACTCCCACATGGCCAGCCACGGTTTGAATCCTGGACCTGGTGGCATGCTTTCTCATTTTCCTTCTCTTTCTTTGGTGAGCACACGTGCCCTAAAGCAAATGAAAAAATAATGATAACAATGATACATCGATTAAACAGACAATTCCTTAAAAAAAAAAAAAAGTATCTTAAACTATGTGATTTTGTGTGTGTAAGTGACTGGCTTCTTAGCATGTTTACAAGGTTCATCCCATGTTGTAGCAGGTATCTGTACTTCCTTCCTTTATACTGCCAAATATTATTCCACTGCATGAACATCCCCAATTTTGTTTATCCATACAGAACATGTATTCAAAGTCCTATTAGTCTGTGCCCAATCTGCATAAAGGACCTCAAAAAAGAAAAAAAATCCCTTTACTTTCCAAAGGCAAAACTCTACTCACATAATCTGTAATATTTAGATAAAATGTGACAGTTGGCCACTGGAGTCCACCAGACTGGCCTTATTTCTGGCATGACCTGCTTCGTGTGAGATCCAGGTTCCTTGTTAATCGGGCTTCTGGTTCATTCTCAAGTTGCATACTGAAACCACTGTCTCTAAAAATAGCCAGTACCCTTTGCTACTTGCCCCCTCTTCGGATTATGTCTGAAAAACCGTGTCATATGGTTAAAATAATCTCGCGATGAATCCTGCTCCAACGATCCTCTTTAATGCAATCCATTTTCTACAAATAACGGTTGGCTCACAGTAAAATTTCTACAATTTTCATTAAAGTTGTAATATGTAATAAAAGGAACTTATTTTTCATTTTTACCAGTAATCTTGGCTACAATGAAAACCATCGTATTTGGGTTTTCGTCAGTTTTTACTTGTGAAAACACGTCACGGCCATACTCACCTTGGTTCAAGTAAGTGAGCGTCTCATCATGCAGTTTCACTGCTGGAGACGTCGCGGCACACATCACATACTGAAAGGGTGGGTGTTTAGTTTCACCGTCCAACGGAAGGCTGGAATCTTCCTGCTTGAAAATGGGCAATGCCAGGACATCGCTGAAAGAGGGAAAAAAAAATCAATAGATCTTACTCTGAGTTTGAAATAGTTCAAAGAACTATTAATGCCAATCTCATTCATGTAAAAGACACTGCTGGTAACTCATATCTCTGTGGGAAGGCGGACAATGTTTAGGTGGATAAAAATAAGTAGCTAATAAAAACGTCAAGTTGACAATACATGTAGTAAAAAATTAAAGTCTAAAAATTTTGAAGTCCAGGTTATTTCTATTAAAAAAGAGAGAGAGAGAGAACAAGAGAGAAACCCAAGAGCAAGTAGCTCCCTGTTTTGAGAGGTGGGAGCTATGGCTACCGCCAAGGTACTGGTGGCGCCATGGAAGGAATTACAAAGGGCCATTTGACTTAAGATGGTGCTTTCCAGAAAGTTCCCCGGCTAAGCCTGACAAGTGCTGAGAACAGAAAGCTTTATCCCTAATGTAAAAACAACAACTTCAGAACAGCCAGGGGCATATGGTCAGTGGCTGGATCCCACATGGCCACTTCCAGTCCTGGACTTGGAGCCTTAAGAAACATGCCAGGTGTGTGTGTGTGTGCATACCCAAAATCCCCAAAGGAGGAAGACATGGAGAAAAGACTGTGGTGTGACCACGTATGAGGGGGATACCTCCTTGGGGGATGGCCATGCCACAATCCCTTCTCCATCCTCCTCTCAGGATTTTGGGCATGCATGCACATGTGCCGGGCATATTTTTCAAGCTGCCGGGTCCAGGACGTGAACTACATGGATGGTCATGTGGGATCCAGCCACCTCAACTACCCCATCAACAGCTGGGCCAACAACAGCTTCTTCTGAGAAGCAGATAGTAACAGATGCAATTTTCCCCTCCACAAGAAGTTTGGGGCGCGGACTGGGGGCCGCGAGGAGGACATGCAGGGATCTTCTAGGATCTTGTCTATACTATTAATCGGGTGATTTAACACACATGGATGAGTTTGGTTTGCTTTGTTTGTTTTTTAATGATATAGAGCACATGTGTGTACAGGCACAAGAGAGAGAGAGAGAGAAAGAGAAATTAAATGTGCAGGCACCCTCAACAAGGTCCCCTCTTCCCAGCCCTTCAGCTCCTCGGGATCTGGGCTTCTGGTGTGTTCTCGGGCTGACCCAGGGATCTGAACTGCAGTCGGCAATATGGCTTCCAGCCTAGTACTTTATGGACTCTGCCACTAAGAGGAACCTGTTAACAGCTTTACTGTAATGTAATTTGCATATCATAAAAGTCACTTTCTAAAGTGTATCATCAGTGGTTCTTAGTGAATTCCAAGTTGTGGAACCATCACTAGTACCTAATTCCACACTTTCTCACTTCCTAAAGAAACCAGGTAGGTACCCGTTGGGCAGTCACTCACCACCCAAACCCCGACCCTCCAGCCAGTCCTGGGCAACCACTGATCTACTTCCTGTCCCTGTAGATTTGCCGTTCTGGACATTACGTGCAAATGGAATCAGACTATGGGACTTCAAAAAGTTAACAGAAAATGGAATTAACATATGTTTATTTTATTGCAAAAAATTTTTGAAATCCATGCAGTTTGGAAAATATGCATTTTCTATGAACTTTTGAAGCCCCCCCACCCCCACCCCCATACAACTGTTTGGTCTTTCGTGACTAGCTTCCTTCACTTACAATGGTTCGAGGTCCATGCACATTGTAACAGTGCTTCAGGGCTTCATTCCTTTTCATGGCTTTACTGCATTGTAGGAACATATCACATTCCCTATTCACTCACTGGTTAATGGGCATGTGGGTTACTTCCATTTTTTGGCTCTTACGCATAATGCTGCTATTGACACTTTTATACATTTTTACATGTGTAGATAGAATTTCATAATTAGCAATGGCCCCCAGGATTCTCCTTAACTCTGTTACCCAAGAGTTTTGTCTCACTTAAGTTCCTGCCTTAAGGGCAGATAAAAACTTCTCAGAAACTTCAAATGGCACTTAAAAACTAGACTTGATCTTTGTGAAAAACAGCCATAATGGGTCAGCAGGTGGTGGGGAGGTTAAGGCGGCTGGACCCCATATGGCCAACTGTGCAGTTCAAGTCTCAGACCAGGCAGCTAGAAAAATACGCCAGGCACATGTGCCTGTGTCTACACGTGCCCAAAATTCTAAGAGGAAAGTGGAGGAGAAGGGATTGCAGTTGGGCTGTTCCCCCACCCCACCAAGGGAGGGGAGGTTTCTCACTTTCTTTCTTCCTCTCTCTCTCTCTTCCCGATGAGTGGACAGGCCCTATAGCAAACTAAAACCACCAGACAAAATGGCTCCCGTGAAAATGATAATATATTGAAAGGAGTAGTCTTCAAAAATTTCATGGAAAATGTTGTTTTGAAAAATTATGCATAGATTTCCATTTTATTTTGCACCAAAATAAACTCGTTCTTTAATTCCATTTTCCCAAGAACTTTTCTTTTCTTTTTGGAGAGGTTTTCACTATAGGGCGCGTGCCCTCGCCAGACAGAGAGAGACATAGAGACAAAAAGCGAGAAATCACTCCCCAGGGGGGATGGCCACACCGCAATCCCTTCTCCTCCATTCTCCTCTCGGGATCTTGGGCACGCATGCACATGCGCCCAGCGTGAGTTTAAGCCACCAGGTCCGGAACACGAACCACGGTCGACTACGTGGGAGTCCAGCAACATAGGCATTACGCTAGCTGCTGGTTCCTTCCCAAGAACTTTTTAAAGTCCTCTTGTATACTCTTATGCCACATATAAGCATTAAAAACCCTCTCAGAGAGAGAGAAAACAAGAATAAGATGGGAGCTACAGCTTGGAAGCACTAAATATGCTAAAAAATTACATGGGTTGATCATTAGATACAGGTCATCAAAATAAGATATAAGGCTGCATAAGAATGGCTATTTGTGAATAAGCTAGTCCATAAGAAAATAAAATTTTAGGGCCAGCAGGTGGCATGGTGGTTGAGGGCACTGGACTCCCACATGGCCGACCATGGTTCAAGTCCTGGACCTGGCAGCTTGTTCGTTCTCTCTCTCTTTCTCTCACTCTGTCCCTCTCTGGTAAAACTGAAATAAATTTTTAAAAGTTAGATAAAATAATAATAATAATAAAAGTTTAAAAGAAAAGTTTACATAATAATAATGAAAGTTTAAAAGAAAAGTTTACATGCTTCAGACCCTAGAAAACAACTACTCCTTTATTCACTTGGTGATAGCTGGGATGATCCACACAGGAAATACTATGTTTGTGGCAGGTGATAAGAACTCTTGAGCAGATGTAAAATATAAACACAGAAAGACTGTTTGATACTAAAATTCCAATTAATGTTTTACTCCATTAGAGAGAAAAATGTACTCTTTTTTTAAAATTTATTTAATTCCCTTCATTATTATTATTTTTTCTTAATTCAATCAAACAAAAACACAGAGAGAGAGAGAGAGAGAAAGAGAGAGAGAGGGTGAGAAAGGGAAAGCGAGAAAGCAAGCAGCCAGGTCCGAGACTTGAATCACAGTCAGTCATGTGGGAATCCAACACCCTTAACCACCATGCCACCTGCCGGACCCAAGAAAAATTTTTTTTTCTTTTTTTTTTTTTTTTT